TTATATGAGCAATATCACCTCAAGTGGACCCCCTATTTCCCACTTGATCATGAATTTCACGTACAACTATTTTATTGTGAAGTATTCACTACCGATAATTAGACTCTGGAACAGTTTTTCAAAATTTTCATTTTAACAACAATTTTTTTTATAATGAAAATTTCGAGGACTTTTTAATTAAAAATAGATTCCGAACCAACCGTTAGAGATAAATTAATGAAATTCAGGATTTATTGTTAAATATATATATTTTGTTAAAATACTCAAAACTGATAATTATTTATTTATTATCATATTGTTAATTAACTTTTAAATAAACAAATTAAAATTTCAATGACTTCTCCCTCAAATATTGTTTTTTTTTCATTGGTTACATGCATTATACATTTAAGTTTGATATCCTGAAAGAAAATGTCACTGCTCGCTATTAATTTAAACAATAAAAATTTATTTATCACCGCGCGGCGAGCTCTGCTGGTACGACGCGCTGCACACTGGGCTGAGAAAACTGAAAATTAGACAAAAATCGACATTCGAGTCAATTTTAAAGTCATATGAACGTTCTTAGGCTTAATATTTTACGTACTTAGGCTGAAGTAATTTCCTAAAAGATAACCCGCCGCTTTAAAAAAAATGATGACGTCACTATGGCAATGGGCCGAAGTTGGTCGTTTTTGTAAAATTCCGATAAATCAGCCAAGTTATGAAAATCAAAATATAATCAAAGCAACTTTGGTATCATTTTCAAGGTTTTTTTGGGTCGCTGATTCCATATTTTGAAAAAAAATGAAAGTTTTGAAGTAATTTATAGGTATAATACGAAGAAAATTATTTGCTTCTCAATCGCATAAAGTACATTCTCCTTTTGCTGGAGTAACTCAGTGCATTCGGTAAATAGAATATTTGATACGAACTAAATTAGGTGAAGTCATTATGTAATATTTTCGAAGTTATAATAATTTTTAGTTAGATTATCATTTTGTTTTAATTTTCTCTGTTGATTTAAAAATAAATGTTCGTAATGATTTCATTTTTTTTTCAAAATCAGCAAAACATAACTAAACAGAATATAATATAGCACATAACTGATTAAGTGCTTTAAATAAGTTGCAAGATTTTCAAATTACCTCTATCACTCATTTATGTGGTTCGAAAAAAATCATCTCTACTCCTGCAATCATAATATTGAAATAATAAAAATACCTTCTTCTTCAATAGAGGAAACAAGAATTCTCATCCATAGGGGTAATGTGTAAGGATGATAGGGGTGGATTTTTGTAAATCTAGTGTCAAATAAAGCGACCTAAAAAACCTCGAATACGATATGGAACTTCATAAAAAGTGAAATCTTATTTTTTCACCCTAGGGGTTGGACCATAGGGGATGATGCGGGTGCAATTTTGTAAATTTAATATCAAATACGAAATCAGCGACCTAAAAAACCTCGAAAACGATATGCAACTTCATAAAAACGCGAATTTTTTTTTTCACCCTCGAAGGTGGACCGTGGGAGATGTTAGAGGATGATGGGGGTGAAATTTTGTGAACTTGATGTCAAATATGAGATAAGCGACCTAAAATACCTCGAAAACAATATGTAACTTCATAAAAAGTGACATTTTATTTTTTTACCCTCGGGGGGAACCATAGGCGATGATGGGGGTGTAATTTTGTAAATCTAATATTTAATCAATTATATATTACTAATAATTAATTATATTTTGATTTTCATAACTTGGCTGATTTTCATCGAAATTTTTCAAAAACGACCAACTTCGGCCCATTGCCATAGTGACGTCATCATTTTTTTTAAAGCGGCGGGTTATCTTTTAGGAAATTACTTCAGGATTATATTAAGCCTAAGAACGTTCATATGACTTTAAAATTGACTCGTATGTCGATTTTTGTCTAATTTTCGGTTTTCTCAGCCCAGTGTGCAGCGCGTCGTACCAGCAGAGCTCGCCGCGCGGTGATAAATAAATTTTTATTGTTTAAATTAATACCGAGCGGTGAAATTTTCTTTCAGGATATCAAACTTAAATGTATAATGCATGTAACCAATGAAAAACAATGTCAATGTTTGAGGGAGGTCTTTGATATTTTAATTTTTTTATTTAAAAGTTAATTAACAATATGATAATAAATAAATAATTATTAGTTTTGAGTACTTTAACAAAATATAGATATTTAACAGTAAATCCTGAAAGTTTCATTTATTTATCTCTAACGGTTGGTTCGGAATCTATTTTTTAATTAATAGTCCTCGAAATGTTCATTATAAAAAAAATTGTTGTTAAAATGATAATTTTGAAAAACTGTTCCAGAGTCTAATTATCGGTAGTGAATACTTCACAATAAAATAGTTGTACTTGAATTTCATGATCAAGTGGGAAATAGGGGGTCCACTTGAGGTGATCTTGCTCATATATTTTTTGAGTGTTTTCGATACTTCAAAATAAACTGCTCGTCAAAGTGAGCGTAATACCTTTTTGATTAGCGCCATTTGTAGTCTATTCAAGTTAGAGACTTGCTGTTTTAAATTTTCGGTAGCATATAGGGTTGGTTTGAATGACCCGAGGGCGCTAAGTTGTGACTTGCGTAACGGTTCGCTGTTGACAACCTAAACGTCGAAATTTGAATTCGTAAGATTTTAACGGCAATTTCAGGGACATTCAGGATGGACTAAGAAGGACGCTATCGGGTAGAAACTCTATCCCAGCAGACATTAAGACCTCCTCGATAAGTTCTGTATATTTGGTCGCTGTCCCCTCTCTTCAACCTATTTACAAACCCCCTTAAGCCACCCCTTTGTATTTAAGCAGTGTTTTTGCGTGGTTTGACCTCTGTTAGGAGAATACATTGAACTTGCTGCCTAATAAATTGGTGTGGGGTACCACAACTCGCTTTCACCCTTTGACAATCCAAGCACCCCTCCAAGCCACACTAACTCCAATCCCCCACCCATACCCTATGTTTTCCTGTTGGAGGCTGTGTGGAATGTCTATTTGTCTCGAATTGATGGCATGTCATTACCTGAAGGCCCCCGAAAAGGACACTGTTAAAAATAGTTTATTTTTTGCCTATAAGGCAAACGGGTTTAGGGTTGGAAAAATTATAGAAAATTATTTGTTTACTTTAATTAAATACACCAAAATATGCAGAATGCTGGAGAAACATCTACAATCACCTCAAAAGAGCTGTGAGTCACCCTAAGATGCTCATAGGAAATACAAGTTTTTGTTTTTAGTTTAAGTAAGAGTTTTTAGGGAAACAAAGGTTGAAATATAATATTATTTCTTGTGACGATAAAAATATTCCCAGATTTTTATCATCAAATATTGATAAAAAGGAATACTCTAAGTCGTAAAAAAAATATTTAATTGTGTAGTTTCGCTAATAAATACGAAAACTAAGCCAAGATTATTACAGGAGGATCTTTTAGCCACATTTTGTGTTTCCCAAGAATGCACCTCGAGGAGGCGAACCACTTAGCATTCCATTTTTTTTATTTTTTTTATATTATTCTTTATATTTTTATTTTTTAATTTTTCCAACATGTTTGCTGTATTATATTATTAGTAATAATTCTTGTTAAATATAGTTTTTAATTAAAATAAAACTTAATATTGGATTAGTTTGTATTTTTTTTTAAATATTTTTGTCATCACAAGATGTGCAGTTACTGAAAAAATATTGGATTTCAACCTTTTCTTCCTAAAAACTCATTCGCAAGTAAAATAAAACATTTTTTTGCGGTTCCAAGGTTGTATTTCCTATGGACATCTTAGGGTGACTCACAGCTCTTTTGAGGTGATTGTAGAGGTTTCCCCGGCATTCTGCATATTTTGGGGTATTTTATTAAACGAAACAAATAATTTCCTATAATTTTTTCAACCCTAAATCCGTTTGCCTGATAGGCAAAAATAGACTATTTTTAACATTGTCCTTTTACCGCACTGACTCTGGAACCTTTCCTGAGGGTGCTTGAACCCTTTTTGGCCCATCTCGAATCGTTTGTCTCCTTCAAATAATCCTCTTTTGTATCCTATCGTCCTCTTTCTTTGATTCCCTCCAAAAATTTTTTGAGTGGGTGAAAATTCCTGAAAGAAGACTCGTTGGGTAGGCGGAACCTTTCTTTGCACTTGTGTGAATTGACGATCGCGAAATTCGCGAGAGATGCTTGGTACACGCGGCAAATGTTCACTGTGACTTGGGCTCATGAAGCCTCGACTGGGCTAGCGCCTGCTAGGTAGACCACTCAAACATGCTTTCGCTCGTAAAATTAGTGGAAAAAGGTGCTGTTTGGATGGTTTGTCTCGTAGATGCTAGTCCAGTCGAGGATTTATGAGCCCAAATCACAGTGAAAACTTGTCGTGTGTTCCAAGCATCTCTCACGAATTTGGCGATTGTCGATTCACACTAGTGTAAAGGGAGCAGGTTCCGCCTGCCCAACGAGTCCTCTTTCAGAAATTTTCATTCACTCAAAAAATTCAAAAAGGGGTGTGTCAAAAAGAGTTCATGCATCCTCAGGAAAGCTTTCTTAATAATTCCACGCCTCAAGACCTGCTTACAACCATTTAGGGTGGCAAATCTTCCAGGGGGTGGGTTTGAACTTGAAATTTCACTTTTGCCATGAATGACATGAATTCGAGACAAAACGACATCCCACGCAGCCTTCTACAGGGACGGAACCAGAGGGGGTGGAGTGGGGTTGGTGTGGCTGTGATCTGGAGGGGTGCTTGAGTTGTCAAAGGGTGAAAGTGAGTTGTGGCATCCCATATGAATTTATTAGGCAGCATTAGGATCAATGGATTCGCCTAACAGAGTTCAAACCACGCAAAACCCTGCGTAAATGAAAAGGGGTGGCTTAGGGGGGGGGGGGGGTCTGGAAAGAGATGGCACAGCGGCCAAATACACAGAACTGATTGATAAGGTCTTAATGTGTCGGCATGGAGTTTCATTTTGACGAACAATTTATTTTATTACTTCGAAGTAATTTAACCGCGGCGCTAGCTCAGTGGGTAAAGCGCCAGGTAAGAAGATTACTCCGAGAGCTATTATCCGCGCGGGTTCGAATCCCGCCTGTGGCAATTGGCACCTGTCACAGGGTTTGGTTGCGTGTCCTACGTTTTTTTTCATGTGTATTCTCCCTTTGCACAGTTGTAATGACTCTTGGAGGAGAATGTCAATGCTGTGGTGTGATTTATTATTATTATTAAGTGAGTGAGTTATTTTACCCCACTTTGGCCTTTTTCATAGCTATTTATCACCACGTTCGTATCCATATTTTTCATGTTGTGGAATTAAAACAGTACAAAGCACAACAGACGGAACGGTCTAATCAATATCAATAAAATGCGGACGTCACAGTCGCATTTTTGAATGTCGACCAATTCGCGTCTCACTTAATAATCTAACCTTGCAGGTTTAATTAATTTCCAGTAGATCACTCGGTATATCTAGCTTAGTACCCAATCAACTGGGGGGAGAGAGGCGTTCACGGGGTAAAAATTCTAAGAAAGATAGTGTTTTTTTGCTACTCGAGTTTTAATGGCGAACATAACCAAAAAAATTCGTAGTCAAAAAACATTTTTTTTGCAAATAAAAAAAAGCTTCAAGTCCTACACAAGAAAGTTAAATTAGAAAGTTGTAGGTCTTAAAAATGCGCGTCGAATGAAATTTGAACGAAAAAAAATCGGTTCATAAACATCTGAGAAAAATTAAAAAAAAAAAACGTCAAAAATCGCGTTTTCGTATTTTTGCTGTATAAATTCAATTTTGTTTGAGCATACTTCTTGTTAACTACAAATATAGCCCAAGACAAGCGAAAAATGATACTTTTTTCAAAAATTCAAAAAAAGTTTTATTTTTTCGAGTTATAACGATTTAAAAAAAAGACGTTTTCAAAAATGAGCTTTTACAGAGGCAAAAATGATCGTACAGAAACTATCATGGGCCCATTTTATTTGCGAAGACTTGTACTTTCATGCTATTAAAAAACCAAATCGCTTTTATTTAATTTTTGCATAAAAAATGCGTTGTAAAATTGTATCATTTTTTCGAACCGTTTGCTTTCGAATAACTTTTTTAGGTTTGGCTTTACATTTTTGGTCGTTGCATATTTGAAAACTGGCATTCAAAACACGCATTTAAAAAAATGAAGGTCCTACGACCTCAGGGAGCCGATATTTTTTTTCTGAGGAAAAGATAATTTTGCGAGCGCGATCGATTTGAAATCGTGTTTAGTTTTCGATGCGCCCAAGCGGAGTGTCCCTCCACTCTGTCGCCGTGCGCAGGCTAGCGCGTGCCACACATAAATTAAGTTTTGCAAACTTAATTTATGCGAAATGATGTGAAATATTTTTTTTAAGAAAGTAAAAGTCTTTCAGATCTATTTCGTGTAAAAATGAAGTCAATCGGACGTTATACAGCGCTGTCAGGAATTAAAAAAAAAACATCTCGGCTCCCTGAGGTCGTAGGACCTTCATTTTTTTTAAATGCATGTTTTGAATGCCAGTTTTCAAATATGCAACGGCCAAAAATGTAAAACCAAAATTAAAAAAGTTAATCGAAAAAAACCGGTTCGAAAAAATGATACAATTTTACAACGCATTTTTTTTATGCAAAAATTAAATAAAAAGCGATTTGGTTTTTTAATAGCATGAAAGTACAAGTCTTCGTGAATAAAAATGAGCCCATGACCGTTTCTGTACGATCATTTTTGCCTCTGTAAAAAGCTGATTTTTGAAAACGTCTTTTTTTTTAAATCGTTATCTCGAAAAAAAAAAACTTTTTAAATTTCTGAAAAAAGGATCATTTTACGCCTGTCTTGGGCTATATTTAGTTAACAAGAAGTCTGTTCAAACAAAATTGGAATTTATACAGCAAAAATACGAAAACGCGATTTTTGACATTTTTTTATTTTTCAAATGTTTATGAACCGATTTTTTTCGTTCAAGTTTCATTCGACGCGCATTTTTAAGACCTACAACTTTCTAATTTAACTTTCTTGTGTAGGACTCGAAGCTTTTTTTTATTTGCAAAAACCGTTTTTTTTGACTTTTGCGAATTTTTTTTGGTTATGTTCGCCATTAAAACTTGAGTAGCAAAAAAACGCTATCTTTCTTAGAATTTTTTTTCTCTATACGACCATATTTTTTTGTTTGCTGATAACAATTAGTGAATTAACATGGGGGCTTTCGCTCGTTGATTGGACTATAGTCCAGACCTACAGCTGCCCGCAAACAACTATGTATTTGTAAAAATTTGTCCGCAAATAAAGCACATACAATTGTTGCGCGAGAAGATTTGTTTTGACAAACAGCAAATTACTGCCACATCAACGTAGCGGAGTGGAAGTGTATTCATGATTTTTTTTGTATTCAAGTTTTTTATTGGCTAAAGAGATCAATACAGAAACGTCAAAATTTTAAGTTGAAGCGAAACGTATGTTCTGCCTCTGTGTTTGTCGGTCTGTTAACGTTTCTTGTGTACAGGATAATTAGAGAACGCGTTAAGGTATGAGCATCAAGTTTGGAGTAGGGGAAAGTGGGAGAATTACGGCCACTTAACAAAACATGTGTATATTTTTTACGGTATTGAGTGAAATATGTCATTTGTTTGAGAAATTTAAAGTTTGATCTTTATTCCAATAAAAAAATTATACTACAAATATTTTTTTGTTTTTAAAATATACATAAAAACAAGGATACAGAAAATTCTTCAAAATCGGCATTGCCCTCACAGGACTGTCAATACTAATCATTCGGGTTATAACGGTAATGGTTCAACGACAAATGTTGCAAAAACCATCAGGGGAATCAGAACATCAAAAACTTCTGCTAGACTTAGTTTGTTGCTGAAAGGATGATTCTTCCCTGAATGTTTATAACAACCTCATCTTAATTTCGGTGGAATAATTCTGTAAATCATTTTGGCTAACAATTTCACATTCTTAGTATGATCATCAATTTTATGCTCTTCTGTTAAAAAAATTGGACGACGACCAAGCCTGATGATATGTCACCTTGATTTATTTTGTCCCATAATGTGATAGTAGTAATTTCTTATACGCGCGTTTCTCCAACTAAGTTGGCATCTTCAGGAGAAGATTAAAACTAAATTGTAACCTACCCACTTGCTCTATTTATACTTAATCTGCCATCACGGTTCACTGAACCGTAACATCTGTCTTTGGCTCTCAGGGCAAGCAGTGGGCTGTTGGGTATTGGACCATTGTCTTTATTCACACTACTGTTGCATTTAACGATTTCCAAACTTTCAGAAGCATCCAACTGTCTGCTGTTTGTTACATTTCTAATTAATTTTATATTATTTATGTCTATCCTATGATTGTTGTCAAAAGCATGTTGGACAACACAAGATTTTTCCGTTCTGCAGATTGTAAATGAGCCATGCAGTCATGAGGCAATGGATAACAGTGTCATCTTTCATTGAAAATCTTTTTATGAGTAAATTTGAGACAGAAGCAAAAGATACATTCGAGTGTTTCCGTAGTCTGGTTCAGGTACGTAGACGATATCTTCACGGTATTTGATACAAAAGCAATTATTTTGGATAACTATGTTGCTAACAACATAATAATCTAAATTATTATTAGTTAGCATTATAATTATCTAAAAAAACTAATTGCTTTTGTATCAAATGCCGCAGATACCTATTCACTAAAAAATATTCTAAACAAATAATATCAATACGAGTTAAATAAATAACAAGTGAATTAACTAATTTATGGATGTTTTTTTAATCTTGGAAGCATTTTTGTCGATAGCCGTAAAAACAGAAATAAATACAAATTGGGTATTATAAATACAAATTATATGTATTTAGTTATGTTGATATGGTTTCACTTCTATTTGTTTGTGTAAATGTGTAAATTAAATGGAATTGTGAAAAATGTTAAGTTAAGTAATTTTCAAATTGTACCGATATTGTTTACAAAAAAACAAGTTTGTCGTTTATTGACATTTATAATTTAAAGTGGCATTAAATGGCATGCCTTTTCAGGATTCATTGAAAAAAATGATATCGTCTTTTAATTTACACCATTTACGTTCGAATACACCATGTATTCAAACTCAATGAAAATTGGTACAATCTAGTTTACGATGGTCCTGAGTAAAAATCCAATGTTAAATATTTACTAAAAAATATAGCTAATAGTACATTCAATGATTTTGTTAAAAAAAGTAACAAATAATGATCTTAGAAGAGTGGATATTCCTTAAATGTGACACACTGTATGGGTGTATAAGTATAAATAAAGAGTATAAAAATCAAATGGTATATGGTATATGGTATATGGTATATGGCTGTATACTTTGATAATTTTTTGTTCAAACCATGTGACATCGCCTTTACTTTTTAAAATCGATCAAAAATAAAAAAAATTAAGTGGAATATCCATTAATAAAACAGACCCTGTACCATGACGAGGTCTGGAGCTGATTAAATTTTTTTAAATCAGCTTTTTTTGTCATCATAAATATACCTAAACCACATCCTGGGGAAATACTCGAATTTTTCTTCGGTTTCGGATTATTTGCACATAAAAATATTAGAAATGAATGGTAACAAGGAGTTATCTATTACCGTCCCAAAATTGAGAAATTAAATGGTAAATCGTCTAAACACTTCAGTTTATATTGTACACCAGAACTCTGTGAGCAAATTGTTCATGTAGATGAGAACTAATGTAGTCAATAAATCTCTTTTATGTTATGTTATGCTAAACTCGATAATACGAGTGCAGCAACGCTGAGTTGGGTAGCGTTTCGGATGGGTAACCCTATCTGCTCTGAGAAGTTTGTCGGGCAGAGGCATCTAGTGGGTGGTACCAGAGGTGGCAATCTGAGCCATCTGCTAAACCTCTGTCAGTCGTCGGGTTCGAGCCTCGCCTAACAGAATTGACAACTCTTTTAGGACATGGGTGGTTACATTTATTATGTAATATACTGTATTTCCATTCTAAATTGAAAATAGGTAGAAAGAAGCCAGGTTGTCAGATATATTTTCAAAAATTGCTAAGCTCACTATACAAGTATACTTCATACTTCAGTAGACTGTTAGT